TTTATCTTGTTACGTGTATTATTTATAATACAATAATAATTTTTTTCATTACGGTTTTTTTTGTTACAGACTGTACGTACATACTTTATACATGTATTAATTTTTGTACATGTATATCACATACGTTTGCGAAATTGTCGTTTACTACTATGTTTATTAATACTGCATAGCAGCACATTAGATTAGAAATTCTGAATTTAAGCAAATTTATGTTATAATATTAACGTTGCGTAGCGGCGGTAGTCGGATATAATTTTGTGCACCTGATTGTTCGTCAACTCTTCTTTTATCGCTCTACATGGTGTTAACGATTTTTGACGTTTCCGATAACGATAAATGGAGATGTAAACTCCGAGAGAACAATAGATTGCAACATGGATGATCGAACATCAACTATGGTGATTTCTAATTGTGGATCTTGTTCGCCATAGATCGCCATTCAGTAAGATTTTAGACTGTTATCGCTTTTTATAGTTATGATTAGTTGTACATGTACGTACGTAGTACATGTATGTCGTAAAAGCAAACAATAACGTGCTTCTCCATTATTCTAACAAAGAACGACTGCATTTGTACTTGAATCGGATGAGTAATTTCCGCCAAACACACAACGTTTGCTCTAAATTTTATGAGCATAAAAAATAACTAATTAAAATACTATGTACTATCGCTATTGTAGTTTTCATTGCTGTTTTACATGTACTTACATTGCAATAAAATATTAAAAACCGAATTAGGATCTCAAGTACAAACGAAGAATACATGTGAAAAATGTTTTTAATGAGTTTGTTTCTTGACTTGCGAAGAAAACCATTCCAAATCGTGTCTCAAATTTACCACCTTTTTGTCGATTTTGAATTTTTTGGAAAACCAATAAAGAGATTGGTGCAAATCTCTTTCAAGCCCGATACCATTTGTATAGCGATTTCCCAAATATAACATTGCATCGAGATGCCCTTGCATCGCAGCCAATTTTAACAGATAAGACATCTTCAATTGCACGAACTTTGCATTCTTCACGTTGAACATTAAATGGAATGCCAATTGATACTGACACAGGTGATTTCCACTGCTCGAAAATTTTTCGTACAATTCCCTGGCATGCACCGGATCCTTTGTGGTTCCTTTTCCGAATTCGGTGCAATAAGCGAGCAAGAATTGGCTGGTAATGTTGTGAGGATCGATGTGAAATGCTTTTTCATATTGCCTAAATGAAAAGACTTCACTGTCAATTCTCAATCTCGAGAACCAACCAAGAAACGTAAAGTCTTCCGAAGTCATAGCATTCTCATTCAAATACTCTAAAAACGGGTTCAAGTCTATTTTACTGGATACCAGAATCTCATTTATTTTTCTCCGAACATCAGATTCTGAATAACCATTTCTAAATGCTTCGAAAAAAGTGTCTGATAAATTATTCTTTAAATTTTCCATGCTTGAATCAAATTGGTAACGATAGAGATTGTTAACGATACTATATCTAAGATCGCTAATGTTGCACTTGGCTTTTTATCGTTATCGATGCATTCCCATACATTCAACAATAACGATAGATAATGCTGCCAAATGTATTAATAAATTTCAAGCATAAATGTAAGATAAGAAGATTTTTTTTAGCTTGATTTAAATTTCTTAATTGAAAGTTAAATAAAATTGACTATTCTTGTTAACGTTAATATATTCTTCGTATACTTTTTTGTTTTCACCCTTTGAGTTTGTTTTTTCCAACTTTATCTCAATAAGGATTTAATATTTACGTTAAGTCAGGATATTAATGTTATCGTTAAGGTCAACTTATATAAGAATCATTTTTTAAATTCTTTGTAGTGCCGCATTAAACCATTGTCATTAACGTTAACGTTAACGTTAATGTTTTTGTTATCACTATCATAATCTAAATTCGTGGTTAACCGGATTGTTTCTTAATTTAGTCGTTCCAGTTCTAAATCTTTGTTTCCTTTCACTTTCATTAATACGTACGGGGCTAATTGCTATTTAGGAAAATTCCTGATTTTTTGAGTACCAACTTTTATCGTGTACATGTATGATCAATAAATTCGTTGTACAATCATAAGTTCCGTGTACGGTGGGAGAACAAGGAGATAAGTTGTTAAGGCATCATGATGGGTCGCTATTTAGAATACGTAAATGATCAAATTTTTACCAATGAGTTTTTAAGATTAGAACTAACAAACTACGTACGTACGTATTTGCACAAGTGCTTTTAGTAGAATGAATGAGAAAATAACGATAAGCTTCGCAATAACGATCAAGTTGTGCTTTCATATGAAAATGACATATTTTTGATCGTGCATAATGCAGAACTTTCTTTAAAGAAAAATAGTTATCGCTATGATTTTCGGAAGACATTGTTCAAATTACAATGACGACAATGGACGAAATATTTCGTTATCGTTATTATTTGTGCTTCCTATTCATAATAACGATCACATCAACAAAGGATACGTACATGCATACTGAGACGGAAATAATTCTGTAAATAAGTGTCTTGGTAGTTAGTTCTATGCGAGAGAAAGTGAAATGCATGTACATACATCAAGCAAAAAATTTTGAATTGTTTTAAAATTGTGTAAATTTGATGTTAAAAGAGCAGGTCTTGTGATAAAGATACACACAACGCCAACTACGTATGTTGGTAGTCATTTTGTTATAAAACTACATATCGATATACGTACATTTCGTATACGTACGACAACTTTGACGTTAAAACGTTAAGCTGTTTGCAAGAGAACATATTTTTCTTTTTTTAAAATGCTTTCAACAATGAAATTCATGGTTGTAATCTATGTTTTATTGTTCACATTTTTTATTTAATACTTCATTGGCAAATTAAACCGAAAAATAAACGAAAAGGAAGTTCTATTGAGCTTCCAGTTCAACTCCTTCACCAATTATCGGAAATTTACATCAACTTGGATTATCATCAATGCACCTAAATTTCACCAAAATGTCTAAATCTTTAGGACAAATTTTCAAAGTACATTTGGGACAACTTGGATTGTAATTAATGAGCATAAGATGGCAAAAGATTTATTTGTCACGTGGTGCTACTTTTTCTTCGTGCCTGGTATTTGATATTATTATTTGTTTGTTTAAGAAAAGTGAATGATAATAAAGTAACCTTCATGCAGAAATTTTGTTTAATCGATATTCTTATTCATGAAGGTAAAAGTGTGGGTCATGTTCCGGTAACTTTGAGTTTTTAATTACTGATTATCCAGCATAAGAGGTTTATTAAAGTTTATTTCAAAATTCCAACTGGTGGAAAACAATCAGAACACTCGAGTTGAAAGTAGTTCATCCTCGTCTAATCAAGAGTGTAGATTTTCCAATAATATGCAATAACGTGAAAAAATTTTAAACAATTACATTTGAATTCTTTAGGCAACAATATTGTTCAAAGTCCTACCGCTGATATTAGATTTTCTATTACGAAAATACAAACGACAATTATATTTGTTAAATTAGCAAATGATTCCGCTATTTTAGAATTTTATTCTTCTTAATAACAAAATATATGGAATTTACGGATATCAAAGGTAGTCTGTTAACAGGATCTGGCTGGCTAAGGTATTCAAAAGATCTTCGAGAGAGAAGCACGACAATTAACTGCAGAAATTGATGAATTCACCAATAGTCTATTACATTACAACAAATCAAGAATCGAATGACCAGATTCAGAAACTTCCGCTGAAAGTTTGAAATTGGATCCATCATTCATCGCCTCTCCGTATACACACGAATTCAAAAAAAGATGAAAATGAAAAATATATTTTTGATACTTATGATGTGGTGGCTATTTGTACTGATTTGATTGTTGCGGGAATTTCCACAACAAGCGGCACTTTATATTGGCTCTTTGCTACTTTAGCCAATTATCCTAAAGTACAACGTAAAATTCAACAGGAATTAGATAAATTATTGGCAAAGGAAAGTTATATACTATGGATCATAAGGCAACTTACATTACTTGAAAGCTATTATAAAAGAGATTTTACGATTTAGTAAGAAGTATTTTATTCTATTCATTTTTTTTGTCACTATAAGAAGAATTAGTAATATTAGAGATTCAATAAACAGGACAGGACTGTTATAAATATAAGTGTATAACATTGCATCTCTCAGGATGAACTTATAAAGGATATTGTATTCCTGCAAATACTGGAATCGTAATCAATTTCAATGCGATTCACTCTAACCCTCTACTTCATGACGAACCATATGAATTTCGTCCTGAGCGATATTTGGGTGACAATGGACATTTAAAAAAATACGACGAGATTCTTGACCCATGGGTGATTATCAGTTATAAATTATACACATTTACAAACAGTAATCTATAATATTCTTTTTAAGTCATTTAGTTTGGACGCCGGGCATGCATAAGAATCAGCTTGGCTTACTGTAATATGCATATATTTATCAGTCATACATTAGCGATATTTGACCTTGAATTGGAAAAAGATCTATTTACTAATGAACTGATAAAGATTAATCTTGAATCTTGATGCAGGAAAAGGCCACGATTTCGATTAGCTCCCACCAAATATAATTTTTAAAGTTCATGAAGGAGTTGATATTGAAGCAGCTTTAACGAAGTAATATAATATGATGATAAATCAAAACTATCTATCTACCACTACATATACATGTAGTATTTCATTAATTTTGATTAATTTATTTCACAATAAATAATCTTGCTTGTATTGAAGTGTATGACATTAATAAGTGACTTATTAGCAATGCTTTTTAGGATTGACTTATTTTTTGAGATTAAGTACATTGTATAATTTGTCAGTTGTTTTCTGATCTGGATAAAAATTAATTACAACTACGCTTTTTTAAAAATGAGATAATTATAGAATCACAGTCTTTGAGCAATTTTGTTTACAAAAATAATTTGAGCTTTTTTGAGGCAATAATGAAAATATTAAATGATTTTTCATTTGTTTAATGTTGCTCGTTCGTATGGTTGCGTTCACTCTACCGCTTTCCCAATTATTATTAGTATCCTGCAACATGTGACAGCGTTGCGCATAAACAATATGTATCAATACCGATACTGTATTTTCAAAAAAAAAAGATAAATATTTACCTTCGTTGGAATATACAAACTGACACTTGTAGTGACTAAATAAACAAATTTGAAATGTCAATGTAATGAATAATATTTATTACTATGATTTATATTTAAAAAAATACCTGTGTTAGTTGGAATGGATTTGTTTTTCGTTCGTATTTGTAGGAATGCTCTTTAATTTCATCTTTCAAGTTTAACTAATTTCTGCCTTTTTAGTTTAAGACTATCAATAATTTCTTAATGTGTTTTATGATACTGTAATACTGAAAATGTAAAGTATTCAGTTTCCACTTATTGTTAATTTTACTTAGCGCGTAGAAATAGTAGATAAACTCGTAAAGTTCCTTAACAGTTGGTCTGTTTCTGAAATAGGATCCCAATATTTTTCAATTATAACGATAAACTTAGTGTATGGTTTTCCACTTAGCGTTAGTATCTCTGGAATCATGCAAGGAAGTACTCCGCAAATTTTTTGATCAGATTCATTAAATTTGCTGAACCTGAAGTCAATTTGAGCTTTAGATGATTCCTTATTAGGGTATAAGTCACAATGCACAATTTCCGCATTGTGGATTTTATGCGAATATTGACAATATTAATTAAATATTTTAATTACTTAATTGCTGGTAGTTGGAATTCATATATTTGCGTAAATCCTCATCTTTTGCATAAGTCATCATTATCGAGTATTCATTTGTTGGGTTTTTAGTTATTTTATAATAACTTATTCCATCATCATGCTCACTGCACTTTAGAACAGTCTGAATCTAATTATGAAAAGTAAAAAAGAAAATATGCTTAAACTTTAAACTGTGTTCATTTTACCTCGTTTATAAGCCTGGATGTAATTTGTAGGTTGTTTTATAAATTGATCCAAAACCCTCCTTTTGCAAGATATTCAACATTGGTTAATCTTTTAAAGGGATCGAATAAATATTTCCTTTGTTCGTTGCATTCTTTTATTAGACAGTTGATGTCTTTATTTCGACTAGATCATTCAACATAAATTCGTTTGTGATATTCACTACATCCAACACAGTCCTCATGTTTTGACATTTGGTACATTTACTACAATCATGAGTATTGTGAACTGAACACTCATCGCAGTAAGTAATTCAACTTTCGACAAGCGTAATATTTACTACTACAATCATAAATCTTGTGAACTGAAAACGCTTTGCATTAATCCTGTCAACAAAAAGAACATTTACTACAATCATGAATATTCGAAGTTTTAAATGCCATATCAGTGTTTATGATTTATTTATATCGATATGTGTGAAAGTTCTGAGCATGTAAATCGATTTATGCATCCGATTATATCTGTGTAACTTTAATTGCATAAATACATGTCCAGTAAACAACATACCGATTTTCATATCAGCTCAAATAAAATTGTGATAAAAGATACAGCATTCACATATGATCTCACCCTAAGTAAAAAATCTTTGAACAAGGAAGTTAGTTTTAGCTCTTTGTTTGCTGCGCCTAATAATGATATTTTTGGCAGCTGGAGTTTCATCCGGTATTTTTCTCTTAGTTGCATAATCTACATACATGATTAATTAATTTAATAATAAATCTTAAGATTTCTGAAGGCTCAAGTTATTGCACGTTGTATCTAATTGCTATTCCTGGCCAATATGAAGCTCAGAGTCAGGATTCAGTTTGGCATCGCAGGAAACATATTAAAATACAAATGCATATGAAGAAGTTGGTTAATGAAAAGTTGGCAAATTTCTGTACGCGTCGCTTTCCAAAACATTTGGTTTGCCAAGTTGTATAGGTTTGGGTAAGTTCAATTTGCCAACTTTTTAAATCTTATATTTTTTAAATTACTGAAAGATCTTATCCCATTTAGGCTATGAAAGAGATCAACTCCGGATGAATTTGTAATTGGGGTTAAATTAACTGTGGATTTTTGCAGTGAAAAGAATTTATCGGTCATATAGATCTTGTGAATATATTAACGAAAATGACTTGGGATAATGTTCTAAACGATCCAAATATTTCCGATGTGAAATTTACAGTTGGTAATCAGACGTTTTATGCTATCAGCAAAATTTTGGCCACTCAATCAAAGTATTTCGAAGGTTTATTCAAAGATTATTGGCTGAATCAAAAAAAAAATTTACTTCTAGAAAGTAGTAAAGAATCGATTTCTGTCACAAATGAGGCCAACAAAAATATGAGAATATCGACTGCGCGAATTGACGACGACAAATTTCTCACCCAAAAAATATATAATCATGAAATCGAAATTCAGGATACTGATCCCGGGGCTGTTTTTGCAAATGCTGAAATATTTCTATACCGGTGAAGTGATCTGTGCGATGAGTGATTCCAAAGTTGCTTACGAAAATGCTCTCAATCTGTATGAAACTGCGGATAGGTATTTGGTTGATGGTCTTCAGAAAAAAAACAAAGATTTTATTATTTATTCCTTGACAATCGAAAATTCTGCCGAATTACTTTTTGGATTCGCTTATCACTGGCCTGATTTGTGTGAAGAAAATGAAATTTGTTGTAGAAAACTTTGCTCAGGTGGCCAAATCTCAAGGATATTTACAAATAGTCAAAAGACAAAATGAATATTCATCTTTTAATGAGTTCAATAGCAAGATTTATTGAACATTTATCTTGGAAATATTTCCAATTAAAACGAAGCAACTATATCAAAATCTGTCTTTTTTATGTTTTCTGGAATTTATTATCAAGCTCATAACAATTAGCATAATGAGATGTTGTTAGTTTGTAATGAATATATCCCAAAAAAAATGATTTTATTTAGCTTTATTATCAACCTCTTTTAGTTTTATAATATAAAGAAATCCAATATTCTCTTTTAAAGTGTTCTATTGTTTTATGACTTCTTAATTAATCTTCTACACTCATATTTATCCAATTTAATTTGATTATTTACACACAAATTCATTTTTCTCTAGTATCCACTTAATTTAATCGAAAATATTTATATTTTGATATGACTTTAAATTCTGGATAAGAAAGACTATTTGTACTAATATTTAGTAACAGAAACATTATAGATAATAAAAGAAGGTGTATTTACTGTGTGAGTAGCGGGTAGAAATTACGAGTTATCTGTAGTAAGTGATTTTTTCTTGCATATCTTATTGAAAATAATTTCCTATAAATATTTTTTTGGTTCCAAATAAGAATGCCACATTAAAATTCCAGATCTCTTTCATTGAATTTAAAAAGCAGAAGTCTAAAGGCCGAAATATTAGCACGTAAGGATTGATACCTCAATTAATTTCGATATAGCAAATTTTTAAATGAAATATGTTGCGACTCCATCTTTATTGGCACGAGCATAAGCTGAAAGCCTATAGATTATTTATTGTCTGCTTCTTTACAACGAATAAACTTTCAATAGAATTTGTGAATTTTAAGAATAATTTTAAGATTCGATCTTTACATCATGGTAGAATGTTAAACAATATTTGTGAATTTGCGCTCAAACCATCTAAAATTAATTATCATTTTGTTCTCATGGATCCTAAACTTGACATTTTATTCGAGAAATGAATAATCATAATTACAATTAGACAAGTCACATTTTCGTTTGATTTCCCTGGTAATTTTATTATCGTCATATCAAATTTACTATGTATGCCATAATAAATTTAAACATTTAAAGTTCAATCTATTCTGTCTCGAACTCTAATATACGTGTGTGCCTATGTAGATAGTTTTCTTCCCTCTTTTCCTTCAACTGTTACTTGGATATCTTTTGTCAACAATAGATTTTATTATTTTCAAAGTCATCTTCAGTCAAATCGAGAAAGACACTTCATTATCTTTGAGTATGTTTGCATGCTTGTCTCTAAATTCCTTCACCCTATTTTGTTCTAGATACAACGATCAGATAATCAGACTTAGGAAACATTTCGAGAATAGAATTGCTTATACAGTGGCTAACACATGTAATTGAACACGAAAATTAACTTCCTAGCATTTTTATTTCCATGACTATTAGTTTGGACAAAATAAAAAAAGTGTTCATTTGAAACTCTGAAACCTCTAATATTTTTTAAAAATAATTTGACAACAGATTATTTTGT